CAGTCCATTTTTCTTTAAGCTCCCGAGCCTTCTGTCGTTTGAACTCAACTCATACTGATAGTACTTTTTTTCAATCGTTCCTGATGTACAAACCCTCTAAATTAATTTTTCAGTAGAATTCATTACGTACAAGCCCAAGCTATTTTCCTCTCCTCTAACACCGTGTTCTATGCCCATCAACCCTCTGCTTCCTTCATGCCTCTGTAAGTACAGTCTGTCCACATCACTTAGAACAAAGTCTATGACAATATATGGTACGTTTCATCCTGTCTACGCTTTTTAGTTGACTCTTTCCAATCTAGGATTCCAGCCCCCATATCTGAAGATATCTACTGCCCATGTATTCACCGCTGTAATTTAATTTCTACCATTCAACTTTCATTTAAGAATCAAAATGACCCTTCTCTTGTATTCCCTTATAACTCTCTCTCCTCTCATTTCCTTTTATTTTATCCAGCTCCACTATCCCTCAAATATGTGTAACCTTCCATCTCCACCTTCATTACTTCGCCACATCAAATTAGTTTACCTATCGTCAGTGTAAGAACAGCACACTTTCTAAGACCAAACTCCATCCCAATATCTGTACTGAAGAGAGTGAACCGTGTTCACAAGTAACTGTTCTTCATTCTTACTATACAGCTTTAGAACATCCATGAATAGAAGATTCAATTTGTACGCTTTCTTTCCTCATTCATAACATACATTGGCCTTCCTGAGAACTAACGATAGTGGAATCCAACCCAATATAAACCGTAAAGACGATAAAACTCACCCTGAAATATTACCCTCTTAACATCACCAATTTCTTCTCCATTAGCTGTTAACGAAAGCTTCCATTGGCCCATAATTCTTTGCAGAAAGTTTCTCACATTGTCTGCAATTCCAAACATTTCCAAACACATACTAATCCAACAATGGGGGACAAAGTCACAAGTTTTCTTATAATCTATGCCATAACCAGATTAGTACTTTTCCTAGTCTCTCAATATAGTCTTGTCAATTAATTTATCAGTGTACCCCGGCTCTTACGCCTACGCCTTTGTTCTTAAGGCAGAAAGTTCTTTCTAAATCGGTGTACTTATCTTCTGCTATCATTCCTGTCAAGAGCTTCCAGGGAGCACGTATTTTATGATCATTATTACTATCATTATTATATATATTATCATTAGTATTATTTGACCAATTATCATTGTTGTTTCTGTTATTTTTTTACTTTTATTCTTTATGAAAATCAATATTTGCCATAATCATTATGATGATAATTATCGTTTGTCGTTTGTAATTATAGTTAGGAGGTATTATTCTATTCACATGGTAAAGGAGAAGGGGGCTTAAGGGAGACCAGGGGGAAACAAATGATGGGGAAGGAAGGAGGGGGGGGGGGGTTATGCAGATGAAGCAGGGGGGATTAGGACGTCTTGGGAAGTGGGGTGTAGAGGGATGAACATTTTATTGAAAAAATTCTGCCGCATCAACAAAGGTTATTAGCGGCCTATTCAAAATACGGTGATAGGGTAGGGCTTGGGGAGCAAAGCCCATAATTCTAGCATTATGATTAAGTTTGGTGGCAAAAAGGATAAAGTTAGTAAACTATCAGGATAAAATGTGTTAGATGTCAAAGGTTGTAGACCGGTAGGTAGTGAAAAGGGTAAAGAAGGGATAGTAAGTGGAGTACAGCAAGTATTTGTAAAATGGGAAGGGGTTGAGTATGGGTCAATTAGATCAAATGGAGAGTAGCGTAATTCGGGGCAAGTCAAGACGTGGGGTGAGAAGAGACTTAGAAGGAAAAGACCTCGTTTTTCGCAACTATTTCAAAAATTATTCAAAACACATTGTTTCGAGTTTATTTTGATTCATGGTTTACAGCCGAAGAAAGTTCACATCGTGAAGGTAAACTTTTTATCAAGGCGAGTACATTGTTAGTATTGCTTGCCGCCCAGCTTATTTAAAGGTGGCTTACGCAAAATGCCAGTTGCTAAAGCAATACATCTAAGGTCGGCCCTCCAAGTTCAGTGCATGCCATTACTAAAGAAATCTATCACAAATATGGTCAAATTTTCGTTTTGTTATTATTAGGAACTTAATCTTTCTTTGTGCTTTGGGGGAAGATGCGACGATCACGGCCAAAGATGCTGTAAACAGTGCATGTTGTAAAGTGCAGGTAAGGGGGCTCTTGGGGTTTCTTCTGAGACCTGTTAAGCTGCTTTTAATTGAAAATTTAGTTGATGTTAAACTTTCAGATAGGAACAATATTTGTGGCATACAATTACATTGATGCAGCTTTTCAGTCAGAGGATGTGGTAGAGACGATGGGGGGGGGGGGGCGTTTAGATTGTCTCGTGTGACAGGTCGAGTGAGGAGTGGTAGGCACCAGGGAAATAGTAAAGCTTGTAGCATCTGGATTTAGGCTGGAGAAGGAATTTTGAGGTTAAGATGGTTCGGGATAGGGGGAAGAGATGCTGATAATTTTGATAAGATGGAAGGGGAGCAGAGTAAAGTAGTTTTGGAATCTAAAAAAAAAAAAAAAAAAACTTGGCTGGCCTTATGTGGAGCAAGGCCCAGTTTGAAAACTTAACTCAGAATCGGGCTTGTAGACAGGGCAGCTCCTTTAAAATACATTATGGGAACCAACACAACACGTGCATGACTGAACAGAGCAATTTGAATGGTTATGACCAGGTTGGGTACAGAGGGCTGGGTGGCCAAACCAACAAAATTTACCAGTGACAATAATCGATATGGTCAGACAAGGCAGGACCACTCCAATATAAACTTCATGGGGTATTTTATTTGAAAAAAAATCTGCCTTATCCATATTTAAGGTCATTGATGGCATATTCAAAATAGTGATAGGGTGGGGTTTGGAAGTCATTTCTATATAAAAGGCGAATTTTGTAGATTTTTAGAATGGTTAACGGTAAAAACAAATGTGCTAGACATCAAAAGTCATGTAAAATATAACATTGTGGCAGAAATGGTAAAAGTTAACGATTACGATAAGTGGACATAAGGGGATGAAGAGAAGGGAAAGGGGGGGGGGGAGAAGAGACCATGCAAAATTAGTCGAGCTGTGGTCCGAGGTCCAAGGCAGTGGCGATCCCTCACATTGGGCCTCCGTCTCCATCTCCTTAACCCCCCCCCACCCACCCACGACAACGAGCATGAGATTGGGAAGATGGGGACAACTGTGGTGAGGTAGTTCTTGTCCGGTAAACGTTGGACACCTGCATACACTCGTGCCCGCCAACCATCCAAACGTTGGATTGGACCAGTTACAGTTTGGCTGACGGGCACTGCTCGTTTGTCTGGATAGGGCCTTAAGGTCTTTTGTTAACGATTATGTGTGCATTTCAACTAAACTTTACAATCCCAATACATGAAATAGGTTACATATATTCTTGCATCATGATATACAGGTAATCATAGATTACCAATCCCTTGCTCCTATACCCCCACCACACGATAACGGGCATGGGGTGAGGGGATCCTTTTTTAGGGACCTTTTGTTTTTGGAAAAATTAAACTAATTACTTTTATCTACTACATAGGCACTTAAAATATACATTTGTAGTAAGATTTGCAACCGAGTCAAATGCACATTCTTTTGCTTATATAGGATGTTGATATTTATATGTGGAAAAAAAAAAATACGGCAACTTTTTAAATATTAAAATAAGCGAGTAATCCTGCATTTTCTTAAATACATTTTGGGCCTTTCCATTCAAATGAACTTTATATTCATTGATTAGTTGTACAAGGTCATATTTAGCAACATCAATTAGTATTCAAGAAATGGAAGTTCGTTTCAAATCGATCTTTATATCAATTCCAAATTCCACTAACAGGTGAATAAAATCTAAACTGAAATGTACTCAATTTTATTATATACCGAGATAATCCATCGACATAGCTATTTCATCATGTCACGGCAGCAGGTAGACAGTCTCTGCAGGGCGGTCATAATACACGTGGGGTGGTACGAAGCGAGGGGCCAGCCTTCCAACAAGAGTCTATTGCACGTTCTCTTGGAGCTCTTAAATAGAGGGATACAGTTACTCCCGCAGAGCATTCTGAAATGTATTACACTTTACTTGTACTTTTTCCATAGGAGATCAGAGCAAGGGCAGCCTGTAAATAGTTTTTGATAAAGAATTCATTAGGTGGTAAACAGAATTAGCTATCAAATAGGAGTGATCAAGATGGGAAGTATGCAGACCTTATAAATAATCAATTTTGTAGCAACTAGGTTCCATTTAACCACAATTCATGGCAGCACTGCTTCCGGGAAAGCATTGACGATATCTCGAATACTACAGCATTTGCTTCAATACTAACCTAGCTTCCATTTCTTGATCACTTTGGGCACTTTTCTTGAGCATATCTGCCGTCTCCACCACCACCAATTGTTTGAATTCATTAAGAGTTATTCCTTCTGTATATTCGTTGTAGTGCTCATACTCTTGCATATTTCTAAACATGTCATCTGTATCTACATCGTGTCTTTGCGCACAAGAACATCCATCGTCGTCTTCAACGTGGTCCATCATCTGCTGGTTTTGATAAAAATCATGCCTGTCAATTTCTAAAAGGGAGAATCGAGTAATAAACTCGATACTTCAACTGCTACCAATTGCCAAAAGACATCACATACCTCTTCATCTCTCATTTCCGAAGCACTGGGCTTGGCTAAGGCTGTCCCGAGGAGCGCACACAACTGTAAAGAAGGCGCTTTTCAGTAAGTGAGCAAAATGAGCACATACATGACCAAGGTATTCCGAAACCACCTAAACATTGGCTCACTTGTTTGTTACATTCATGTTCTGCATACATTTTCCAGAGCCTGTACACCATTTCAGTGTACTGAGAAAGCTTGATACTGCCAAATGGAAAGAATGGTACCATTTAACAGTTGCGCGCACACATCGGTAATGACTGATATTCCAGGTAACTTTTCCTAGACCGCGACATGGCAACAGCTAAAGCAAACCTTTCCAAAGGCTCTAACAGGTCCTACTTCATTGGATATACGTAGGGGCCCCGGTTTCTATCCAGGAGTGCCATGACTTATTCATATATTTCATATAAAATTTATAAAGCTGTATATTCATAACATTAATAGATGCAGTACGGATAAGCCGCCCACCACGTCCACTTCTGGTAATAATAAGAAGTGACAAAATAATTGCTTTTAATGATTCCCAAATGTGCAATGTATGCAATCTATGGCATGAACTTTCAATAGTATGATGGCCAGCAATACATAACATTCTATAACCCTTGTGTGAACCTTCTTAGTAGTAAAGGAGTTTTACAAGTAAATACCTGGAAAACAATCCACTTCCTACTTTCTACTTTCTATCTGGGGAACTGACCTTTGTAGTAATTACAGGGTGTGATAATTCGCGTTCGCTTACCACAATAGCTACAGGTAATGACGGTATTGTGTGTTAGCATGCGACTTCCATTTTTTTACAATCCCGAAGACAGATACCCAACAACAGGAACTGCTGCCTTTATCAATGACAGCAATAAACAATGTATTATTGTTTATTTCACAAGTGTTTAAGGTTCTGTACAAGAATACATGTAAATGGGTTGATAAAGTCATATTGAGTTAATTACTACCTCTTACATGATAAATCATTGAGGCATAGGCAAAGGTGAATTTTGAATATAAAACACCTTTGTTCATAGACAAACTCAAAGGTTCTATATAATAGAATAAACACTCGGGTGAGATTGAGGCTGCGCCAAAGAAAAGGTTATTCCCAAGGTGGCGGGGTGTGGCACAAGCGGGGACATTCGTGGAATACCCAGGAATGAAATATGATCGAATTTAATACTACTTCAGCTACTTCGAGCAGCCATGAATTACTTGTTAGTTTACAAATCACGAAATTTATTTTTTGTTCAAAAGTTACCTGTCCGCGAGAACTCAGTCATAATCCACGTAACAGTATCAAAGCAATCAGTTTCGTTCGGTGTTCCACAAGGCTCCATCATTGGTTCAATCTTATTATATTCATAAGTGATTTGTCATCAAATGACAAAAAAAAAGGTCTTTCAGTACGCCGACGACTCTCTTCACGCTGCCTCTGTAAACAAGCTAAATGAATTGATAGAAAAGACCAAACAGACCCTAACAGAAGAAGAAGAAAAAAAAAACATGAATGGCCTGAAACTAAAACAAAAAATACAATGCATTTTCATAGGTAGCCATCAGAGCATAGCAAGAATAACCACAGATACTATTGTGTTGTATTTGATGTAGCAACCTTGGAAATCTATACAACTAAAAAACCTAGGGGTACACGTAGACAGATACACGGCATTCGAGGCATTGATCACATCTACAGGAAAGTAATGGGAACACTGATATACTTGAATCACAAAAAATAAAATACCCACAAACAAAAATTGCTGTTATACAAACACTAGCAGTATCCTTAATTACTGTCTAAACATTTGGGGCTCCACGAACAAAAATACAAAGGATAAACTACAGAATTTCGCGGCAAGATTAGCAATGGGAAATGTAAATAAATATGCCCACATCACACCACAAACTAAAATGGCTAAAAGTACAACAGAAATGCAAATATGACACGTGTATCCTGATCCATAAAATACAAGAACTTACCCAAATTGGCTATTACCTATACAAACAGGTAACAGGAGGTGTCCTTGTAAGGCAAAATAACTCCTTGTATATCAAAAGATCGAATACAGAAACCGGGGCAAGAAAAATGCAAATCCGAGGACTGGTGATCTGGAACCAACTAACAAAACATTAGAAATAATCTAACCAAAAGACATTTAAAACAAAAGTGAAAGAACATCTAAAATTTCAATGACATAAGGCGTTTGAACATCAAGCCAAGTATGACATTTCGGTCATCTGTGATACTAATGTTCTGTCTAACCTTGTTAAACAAGCATTGTGTAATATCTATTTATACAACACCCTATTACATAATGTAAACATAAATGGAATGCCCATTGTAGTTAATGAATTACAGTGTTTTGAATTTTAATTACTTCCTCAGAGCACTGAGGATCTGCAGCCCTGAATTTCTTGAGGATGAGGTTGTCTGAATAATAAATTATTTCACGTGCACGTCGCTATTAAAGTCGTCAACGTAAAAAAGTATGGCGGAACCCAGGATCTCTTGTGTTGCCCCAGAAGTGCTCAGACTCTCCATTACCTGCAAACAAGGCAATGCCCTTCGCAAATGCTGGGGGAGCATCTGGTCCTTACAGTTGCGATTAGTCTTTTGGAATCTGATTGAATAGGTGTCACAGATCAAAGGAAATGCCGGCAAGGTGTGTATTAATTGAGAGAGCAGACATCCTTCTAGGAAAAGAAGGTAACAACCGGGGAAAACAATTAATATACGCTCCCCAAGCCCTTCTGCAAGCGAGGTTCGTTCTCCGAGCCCGTGTGCAAGCGAGGGCGGGGAGAGAACGCTGCAATTTGAGGATTCACCGAAGAAAACAGGGAAGCTCGTGAAACTAAAATAAAACTTTGATTAACAACCAATTATTAATTGGACGGTTATGCTTAGTCCTCGGTCACCTGCATACTACCCTGGCATGGTGGCTAGTGGCTTCGTCAGGTTGTGCAGTTCCTTCATCTACTTCGTTACCTTCCCCGATTCATTTCCCTGACAAGTCGAAGGAGACGAACAACCCAAGAGACAGCGGTTGTGCTCTTTCACCCGTCAAGAGTAAGACAGGAAACTCGCTTAAAAAACAGGGAAAATGCTTAGCCAGAAGATGCTCTCGAAAGGACAGTTGGCAGTCAATTGATGTTGATTTTTGGTTATCGCTAGAGTAAAATCTGGTTCTACTTTATGATCCTTAGATTGAGAGGTCTAATAGTGTTTAGAATAGTTACTTTCAATAAATTGAATTGCCCAGTGTACAAAAACTCATTACCCAGATGAAACTTATGAACAATTATCATATGCATAACACTTCCGATTTTCGTTGTCATATTTGCGCATATGTAGGGAATTCAGAAATAGCCGTCATGTCACAGGTAACCATAGGGTAAGTCCGAGAAACTGGGTGACAGCCCTCTCCCGGTAGCTTTGTACGCAGTGGGAGGCCAATTACCCGAGTAGAAAGCTGTGGTAGTTAGCCTCCTAAGGACACTCCCCCTTCACCCTCAACCATTAGACAGGCAGGCAGTGTGACAATTACCAGCCCATGGCAGCTGCCAAGCCAAGGGCAGCTGCGATGGCCTGACCTGACTCAGGCGAAAACAATGCCGCCGGAGGGGGCAGGTCTGTAGACCCGCCGCAAGTGGCCACGCCCTGGGCAGGGCAAAGGGAGGAATGACCAGTTGTCCCCAGGAAGAGAAAGTCCTGGCGTGCCCCAAGCAACACCTCCCTCCTCTCGCCTCCCGTAGGAAGCCGACGCCAATCCGCCACGTCTACCGTCTACATGTCTACATATCTACATTTACTACGTGTATGCGTTAACAGATACCGAGTTTTCCTCTGGACCTTCAGATAATATAGTGGATTTCTGTACACTGAGTTAGAGACCATTATAGGCAGGCACATCCAAGGGATGCAGAAGCAAGCGACATTTGATAAAAATTGATGACATTAATCTTATTCCTTGATAGCAGGGCGTTTATGAGCAGCAGTTTGCAGTTTAAACTCCATCGCCAAGACGCACATCGGGAGCAGTCTCCCGTTGAAAAGCAATCCACCTCGTGCAACATTTGCCAAACGAAGCCCGGCCATTACTCCTGACTAGGAAGGATTTACAGAAATGTTTTGATAAACTTAGGCTTTGTATAAATATAAAAAGTCTCTATAATTTCAGTCTCCAACCTTGCTAAGGTGTTTCAATGCTATAATTAAAATATGCGGTGGATATTGCTTTTCATTGATATAACATAACATATGTTCATTTAAAACCTCGACTAAACAGATACGCGCCTCTATCGATGCCTGGAGAAGCTATGAGTAATTGCATTTTCTTCTTTATTTCAGTGAAGTGAAGTTCCTAAGGTTTATTTTGTGCCGAACCTGCACGAATGCAGTTCCGAAGCTCTTAAGAGGGAGTATACCGTTATTCTTTCTAGTTAAAGACTAGAAATAAGTAAGGCATTTTCTTATTTGCAGTTGCGATTAGTCTTTTGGAATCTGATTGAATAGGGGTTACAGATCAAGGAAATGCCGGCGGTGTGTGTGTATCCTTAATTGAAAGAGCAGAGAACGTTCCAAGAAAAGGTTACCAACAACCGGGGAACAGGCACAGGAAAGGCGTCAAAAGGTGCAAAGATCCCTACTCGACAATATTCTTCCGACCAACCAGTCGAGTTGCTTATGATAATGCGTGCAAAATATTTAATGATTTAAGAAGTGAATGTTTGATAACAGGTTCTGTCTTGCGTAATAACTGTACATTTTATCTTGCAGGGAACTTTCAGCAGAACCCACATCGGCCTCTCACCTCAACCCGGGCCGTCAAGGGTTATTACACCAGAACCATTGCGTGTTATGCGAATAGAAAAAAAACAGTGATAGCATCAGTGAAGTTCATAGTGAAAGATGTTGATTTCGCACACCCCGCATATTATTTCTAGGAGGGAACAGTTTCAAGGGGCATCGGTAAGGCTGGACTTTAGTATTCCCGACCAAGACCAGCCGTCACCGACTGTACTTACGCTGAAATCAAGATTGTGGACATCTTGCAA